CAAATGCGCAGAACGTATGTGCAGTGCATTTCCGCGCATACAACCTTAATGTAGAATTAATTGATGCTGGCTAGAATTATGCTTGTCAAATTTTGTTTGGATATGTTGTTGTACTACAATTCATGTTATTCTATGAGGGACATTGAGATTATAATACAGTACATGTTGTATTATTTGAGGAACATGACTATTAATTATTTTTTTATTGTTCTTGTCCATTTTTGGTCAGAATTATTTCACCTGCATTTTAGCCAGTATTTTCCACGTAACATTCTTAGATCTATTATTTCATTGTTTCAGGACTTTAATACTCATATTTGCCATGCAAAGAAACAATTTTGCATTATTAGTTTGTTATCCGTCCATCCATTTGTTATTCAATCTAGATTATCAGCAGACAAGGTTGTAATAGTTGCGCTGTGTTTTGTTGTTGTCATAGATGAATTGCTCATTTCCATCATTTACTTTTATTGATGAATTGGTCATTGCCATTGTTTATTGTCATTCATTGGTTGCTGGTTATCATTATTGTTGATTGTCATTGGTGGTTTATTAGTTCTCATTATTGATGTTTGTCATTTTTTGGTGGTAGCCATTGCTGGATTGATGGTTGTCATTTTTTGGTGGTAGCCATTCTTGGATTGATGGTTGCCATTCTTGGATTGATGGTTGTCATTTTTTGGTGGTAGCCATTGCTGGATTGATGGTTGTCATTTTTTGGTGGTTGCCATTGCTGGATTGATGGTTGTCATTTTTTGGTGGTAGCCATTGTTGGATTGTTGGTTGTCATTTTTTGGTGGTGCCATTGTTGGATTGATGGTTGTAATTTTTTGGTGGTAGCCATTGCTGGATTGATGGTTGTAATTTTTTGGTGGTAGCCATTGCTGAATTGTTGGTTGTCATTTTTTGGTGGTGCCATTGCTGGATCGATGGTTGTCATTTTTTGGTGGTGGCCATTGATGGTTGTATTTTTTGGTGGTTGCCATTGTTGGATTGATGGTTGTCATTTTTTGGTGGTAGCCATTGCTGAATTGTTGGTTGTCATTTTTTGGTGGTGCCATTGTTGGATTGATGGTTGTCATTTTTTGGTGGTAGCCATTGCTGGATTGATGGTTGTAATTTGTTGGTGGTAGCCATTGCTGAATTGTTGGTTGTCATTTTTTGGTGGTGCCATTGTTGGATTGATGGTTGTTATTTTTTGGTGGAAGCCATTGCTGGGTTGATGGTTGTTATTTTTTGGTGGTGGCCATTGCTGGATCGATGGTTGTCATTTTTTGGTGGTGGCC